CTCGGACACCAGGCAGTAGTCTATCACTCTGTGGCCTCCTGGTTGTGGGTCGTCTGGCCGACGCCACGCTCCGCTGAGAAAAGTGGGCAGGTTTAAACCTGCCATCTCTCCCTCTGTCATATTCCAATCCACCGTGATGATGTAGGGCAAGCCTTTGGCCCGCACGTACGAGGCCATGCCGTTGATCGCGTCAATGTTTGGCCCTGCCAGGCCCGCGCCAACTGCCAAACGCATTGATACAAAATGACTTCCATGCCCTTTGTGCGAACCGTCGCCGCCGTCCATTGTGCTCTCTCCTGACCGAAATCGATAACTCCCTTCCATGCCAACTGCTTCTGGACCTGGAGCCAAACCCCGCCGTGTCCACGCGCTCCTTGTCCTGCCGTGGCTGCAGCGGGGATGGCCTTGGTGGCCCAACCCAGCTTGGACAACTTCTTCTTTGCTTCGTTCAATTTCTTGCCCGTCGGGTGATGTTCGGCCACCCCGATGACATGTGCCCTCTGGAGAGGGCTCCCCTCCCGCTTGATGTAGCTGAGGCCCTTCTCATTCCAGCTGGTGACGTTGCTGAAATAGAAACGAAGCGGGGTGCGGTCCGATGCGGGTGACCTGGTCGCTGAAGTTCCTGTGCCCTCTTCTCCGCCAGCTGGCGGAGTGAGTCTGGCCGATGTCCCACCCATGGCGGAGCATGTCCCTGGGCTCTTTTCTCCGTGGGGAGTGAGTGTGGCCTTGGTCCTTGAAGCAGGGCCGCCTGGGGGCCTCAGGACCTGAGCTGCCCTCCACGGGCTGCCCTGGCCCCTCAGCGTCCTGGGGGCCCTATTTTACGAAGCCGTAGCGCTAGAGTCGCCGTAGCCGTTTCGCCTGCTCCTGGAACAGCGCGACGATCGCTGCAGCTCTTTGATCTTCTGACACCTCCGAGCCCCAGCTGGACATCAGCTCGCGGGCTCTTTTGTTGGTGCCGCCATCATCGAGGTTCTGGGCAGGCTCGGGATCCCCCTCCATGCGGGCGTCTCCCTCGCCATCGCCAACGCCATGGCCAACGGGATGAGGGCCGTCACCATGCGCCCCACGCCGGCCCCCAGCGGGATCCGAGACCTGCTCCTTGAACCCCTTGAGCTTGTCGAGGGAAGCTTTGATGGCCTCCGCGTCTCCCTCAGCTGTGTCAACTCCCCCACCTGGCTTTCCAGGTGCCAGAAGCCTGCCGACGAGCTCGGAGAGCTTGGCCACCTCATCCCAGACTGCTGGCGGGGCCTGGGTCGGGGGAGGCCCCGCGCTGGCTGCTCCCACGCGCTGGGCCGCCGCTCGCCTGGCCTCCTCGAGCTCCTCCTGCGCCTCCTGCAGGGCAGCGTGGGCCTCCATGCACTCCAAAGCGGCCTCCCGAGCCGCCTCCTCGGCACTGGAGACTCGCTGCGTGGCCTGGAGCACTTTGTTCTGGGCCTTGGCGACTTGTGGAATTCCTTTTCGCCCATGGCGAGCCAGAGCTCCGTCTGCTGCTCATCGAGCTGTGGCTGGGCCGCTGCTCCTCCCTGTCCCGCTCCATTCTTCTGGTACTTCGCATCCTTGCCGTAGCCCTTGCCGTGCCCCCTGCCGAGGCCGCCCTGCCCACTGAAATCTCGCCATGGTGCACCTCGCAAGCGCTGCTGGCGGTTCCACTGGCCCTGCAGCGGTGGCGGCCGTCGGTTTGAGGCTGGCACTGGCCCCTGTGGGTTGTACCCTCCGCAGTTGAAGCACCTCTGCTTGTTACCACGGTTCCATGCATTGCACTGCCGACAGCCCCAGCCCACCATCGCGCGCGGTGTCTGGGGAGCGGGTCCACTGAAAACTCTTGGGACGAAATGGTTGCGGGTGAGGTCGCGAACCTCTGGCCACGAGACTCGTGGGGACAAAAACCTGACACGCCTTAATCTCTCGAGCGAGGTTGGGAAGTCCAGGAGCAGGCCCCTTGAGCCAAAATGGCTACGGACCCCTCCTCCTCCTCCTCCTCCTCCTCCTCCTCCTCCTCCTCCCCTCGTTCCTCCTCCTACTTGTCCTCCTCCTCCTCTTCCCTTACCCTCCTCCTCCTCCTCCTCCTTGTCCTCCTTGTCCTCCTCCTCTTCCTTCCTCCTCCTCCTCCTCCTCCTCTCCTCCTCCTCCTCCTCCTCCTCCTCCTCCTCCTCCTCCTCCTCCCCCTCCTCTCCTCCTCCCTCCTCCTCTCCTCCTCCTCCTCCTCCTCCTCCTCCTCCTCCTCCTCCTCTCCGCCTCTCCTCCTCTCCTCCTCTCCTCCTCTCCTCCTCCTCCTCCTCCTCCCCTCCTCCTCCTTTTTCCTCCACCTCCTTCGCCTCCTCCTCCTCCTCCTCCTCCTCCTCCTCCTCATGCTCCTCTCCTCTCCTCCTCTCCTCCTCCTCCTCCTCTCCTCCTCCTCCTCCTCCTCTCCTCCTCCTCTCCTCCTCTCTCCTCTCCTCCTCTCCTCCTCTCCTCCTCTCCTCCTCTCCTCTCTCCCCTCCCCTCCTCCTCCTCCTCTCCTCCTCCTCCTCCTCCTCCTCCTCCTCCTCCTCCTCCTCCTCCCCCACTTCCGCGGCAACGCCGACGGCGAGTCCTGTTCCAGATGCTCGGGGGCGGCCGTCGACCGTCGATCCTCGTCCCCGCTCCTTGCCGTACATCCGCTCCAATCGTAAGCCGGGCCGCGCCTTTTCCGTCGCGCGCCCGCTCACGCGCGGTAGTCTGCGGCCCACGCGCCTCCGCCCGGGCCGGCCCCCCGCCCAGGCGCAGGGTAGCGGCCCCAGCAGGCCGCGAGGCAGCCGGCGAAGAGCGCGGCCCAGAACGCGTAGGTCGCCACGGGCACCTGTCTTTTTTGCTAAGCTCTCGCTTCTGAGCCCAGACATGATGCCGTCGTAAAAGAGCCAGGACGGGAGAGTTTTGGCCATTGTCGGCCTCGGATGGGCCCTCGCCGGGCCTCGGGACCGTCAAAAAACGACTCATGATGAGAAATCGGTCCCGGGGAAAGGGTCGGGACTCCCAGGGGCCCTGCATGGAGAAAATCAAGACGTCGCATGTCTGGGTCACTTCCGAGTAACAGTTGATGCTGACATCCCGTTTGGTTTTAACAGAAGCAAGAATTTGGAAAGAAAAGCTCCTCAAAGGGGGCGCACCCCTAAAAACGAAAAGGGCGGGAGTCGAGGGCTTGGGGTGTACGTGCTGGATGGGGCGCAAACTGCGCAGAGCGAGCAATCTCAGAGTGATTGTGAACCTTCTACTTCTGAAGAACCATGTCGGGGATCTTCTGACCCGCGTCAATCCAGACCCGGGTCAGTCAGGCCTTGCAGAATCCTGCAAGATCCTGCAAGACCCTGCACCGAAACCCGGGTAAATGCGAAGGATCCTGAAAGATGCCGCAGGATCCTGCGCCCAAGCCCGGGTCAATGCGACCCTGGCCCTGCAGGATCCTGCAAGACCCGGCGCTCTGGCTGACCCCTGTTTGCATTGACCCCCGTCTCAAGGCTCCCGACAACGATTGGTGATCCCCCCACCGGTGCCCATGGTGCTTTTTCAGCTGAAGTGTTCCCCCTCAGCGCTCGCACCCGCAGTTTTTTGTCGCAGAGAGCCTCCCTGCTCAAACTGTGTCATCCGGCCGCTTCAACACAACAACGGCTCCTGGCTTGCGCTCTCGCCCGAAACTCCCTTGTTTAACCTGTTCAAGGTTCGCGCTCTCGCCGCTCTGGAGCTGTGCGCTCGACTATGAATCCCTCACGATTGACTCATGGGCCGCGGATCGCCTGAGACTTCCTACCAAAGTGCGCAGGGAATTGCTGTCCAGTGTGACCCTCCCGCCCGACCTGCCCGATACAGCCCGCCCACCCGACCGCCCCTTCAGGCCCGCCAGCCCAGCGCAGCGCAGACCAGCCCAGCCTGGAGGTCTGCCCCCTCCTCCTCCTCCTCCTCCTCCTCCTCCTCCCAGCCTAGAGGTCTCCCCTGACATCCGACGTTTCAACACAAACTGCCCAACAGACATGCAACACCGCAGAAAATAACGCCCAGAGCCATGGACCCCATCGGTCTGCGCCACTCTTCGAGCCGCATCGATCCGTGAGGGCCCCGGGGCCCGAAATGGAGAGCGAAACCGCCGGCTGCTTTTTTGTTTGTTTGTTTGTTTGTTTGTTTGTTTGTTTGTTTGTTTTTGTTTTTGTTTTTGTTGTTTTTTTCTGTTCTGTTCTGTGAGCAGAAGTGGCCACGCCGGGATCTCAGGGTCCGCCGGGTCGCCTGCTGGGCGATCCGCGCGTGCGCCCCGCCCCGGCCCGACCCGCCCGTGAGCACCGCCTGCAGGTCCCTGGGAAGGGGCTCTCTCTGGAGGGTCCCGCGCACGGGGCCGGCCCGCTCCCGTGCCGCAGCGGCCCGCCACGCCTGCTCCCAGAGTCCCGCCCGCCCGTGCCGCCCGTGGGGGTCCGCTCGCCCGACTCGTGCGACAGGGCCCACCCGCCCGAGGCGCCCCGCTTCCCGGAGCTCCGGGCGTCTCGATCTTTCCAAGCTGGGCGTCTTCGCTCCTCTGTCCGCGCCATGGGGCCCTCGCAGATCGATCCGGCTCGAAGAATGACACAAGACGGTGGGATCCAGGGCTCCAGGCGTGATAGTTTGCGATGTTGTTTTTTTTTCGCTGCGCCGGATCTCAAGGTTATCTAACCACGTCGGGGCGTTAGGGCAGGCTGGGGTCATGCCGACTTCGGCGCTGGTTTCTGGCACCGCGGGGATTGTTGAACCTTAAAACGATCGGCCGTTTCCGAAACGTCCGATCGTTCAACATCGACCGATTTTGGGTCGCTGGCGGCGTTCAACATTGACCGTCGGCGGCGGGGTCGCCGCCAGTCGACACGACGAGAACCTACCGTACCCAGGAGCTGGCATGAACAAACAAACCGTCCTAAACGGGGTACACTCGTGAACAAATGGGCAGGAATCGAGGGATTGGGGAATTCGTGTCGAATTGCAGAGCGAACAGTCTCGAAACGACTGCCGCTGCTGCTCTCGTTCCACTACAGGGTCGACCGCACCACGAGGATGGCCCAATTCAACAAGGTCAACGCTGCGATCAGGGAATTCTTCTCGGCCAGGTGTGAGAGAGTCGCCCTGTGGGGCATCGCCCTCCCAGCCATAGTCTGGGCGCTCGTGCCCCGACACGAGGAACACGACGACAAAGTCGGCGCCCTGTCCGTGCCCGCGCAAGGAGTAGCGGCGGATCGACTGCTCGCGCAGGCCTCGGCGACACTGGAACGCCCGATCAATGACCCCGGCCAACCCAACACCAGCCAACGCACGACCGAACAGCCCCTGACGCCCCAGCAAGCCGAAGAATCCCCCGGATGTGTCTTTCAACGGCTGCTGCCCGTCCCGAAGGAGGAGCACCTGGTACGCATCTGCAACCTGCGCCGCACCAACAACGCCCAGCGTCGCTGCGTGCTTGCTACCCAGAACTCCCTCCTCACACTGTGCCGCGGGCCGCCCGGCATAGGTAAGACTAAGGTCGCAGCGTGCATAGCGGACGCCTACATGTCGTGTCTCGCCCCAGGGTGGGGAGTGGGGTGCTTCGGCGGCACCGGCCGTTCCATGGACAACCTGGCAGAACAGATCGGGAAGAACCTGACTCCGGACTGCGCTGACCTGTTTCCTCGCTTGGCCGTGCGCCTCGCGCGCGAGGATAAGGTAAAGGGTACCACCGCCAAGAAGATCACCCTTGTCGCCAAGTACGCTAATATGTACAACATCCTGGAAGACGAGGTCACTGCGGGCCACGCGCACTGGTTCCACGAGTTTCGCACGGAGATCGCGACCGAGGCGAAGCTCACCCTGGCAACGCGCGAGGCGGGAGCTGACCTCTGGAACAAGAAATTCCTAATATGCCTCCTGGACGAGGCAGGTCAGACGTCCGAACCCATGGCCATCACGTCTCTGATCCACGCCGCCCGGTGCGGGGCCAGGACAGTCCTCTTCGGCGACGAGCGGCAGCTGTGCCCAACCGTCAAGTCCCAGCAGGCACTGCGCTGGGGCCTCGGCATCTCGATCCTTGCCAAGTACGTGACAGCTATAAGGGAGATCCCTGACTGCAACGTCACCCTGGAAGAGTGCTACCGGATCCACCCCTCTCTGCTTGCGTGGCCATCGCTCACGTTCTACGGAGGCAGGCTTGTCTCGGCCATCCTGGGCCCCATGCGGGAACGCCCCTGCGCGGAAGGACTACAGTGGCCGCTTGCAGTGCCGTTGTCCAACGAGGAGTACGAAGCAGCAAGGAACGAGGAAGGCAGATACGGCCCCGTCAATTCCCTGATCGACACCGCAGGTGGTTTCAGGAGTAGAGCTGCCTGCCCGCTGGTCCCGAAAGGAAACGGCACCGCAGTCTACGACCAGCGCCGGTTCCTACTCGCACGCGTCCCCTCACAAAAGATCCAGTCCCTGCGCCAGGACGGCGCTGGGCAAATCCACGAAGCCCGCGCCGTGGCGGCCCTGGTGAAGGCCCTTGTGCCATGGGCAACAACCAACAAAGGCACAATCCTGGTGCTGTCGCCGGGCAAGCTACAGCTGATCCCTGTGCTGGCAGGCGACCCCTGCTTCCCGACGGACATCGCACGCTGCTCGCGGGCAGCGAACGCAGACGGATCGGAGGCGAGTGGCGGAGCGGCCGGCTCCCAGCGATACCAGGGCCGGGGCAGCTACGGTTCCCCTCGAACCGGCAAAGGGCACCTCACAGGAGGGAGCTGGATCAACCGCGCCACTACAGCTAACGGCCTGCACGAGCGCTTCGCCGGACTCATGGACCTGTTCCCTCAGCTCCTGGAGAACGAAGCCATCCGCGTCACGACCATTGACTCCGCCCAGGGACAAGAAGCGTCCGTGGTTATACTTATGACCACCCTGGCCAACTCCATGCATAATTGGGGCCAGGTGGACGACCGGCATCGCATCGACGTGGGCCTGACCCGCCCACAATGCAATCTCATCATGACAGCAGACGCGAGGATGTTCCGCACAGCCACCGACGCCGCCCCCCACGACCTATGCACCTGGGCCCCGAAGGCGAGCCCCACCCTCGATTTCCACCACAACCTGGACAGGTCTCTGCGCCAGACCATCGCGGACCCGCGCGTCTTCAAGGACGACGTCCCCGACGCGGCCAGCCCAGAAGAGAAGGCCAGGCTGGAAGAGGGCGCCGACCGCAGGCGGAAGGAGAAGGAGGTGGTCAAGGCCCGTCAAGCTCAACAGGCAGGCTTCTCGGCTAGAGCCGACCTACCACTCCCGGCCGACCGCTGCTGGGAAGACCTGGAGGAACACGTCAATAACGCAGTGGTGTGACTCCTGTACTGCGCAGCGTTCGGACCCTGCATTCTTTGGTGTCTCGGGCTGCGCCCGCGCCAGTTCGACGTCGCGGATCAACCCGCGGACCCCGTCATGCAGGACAGAAAAAGATGGAGCATGAACGGGTGCCTCTTTGTCTGCTCTACGCTGGTGGGGCTGGACGCCGGCAACCTGGTCTACGCGGCAGTCTTTGCGACCATCATGTGGGCCATCGGGCTTGGAGTCTCAATAGACGACAACTCCCAGGCTGTCGACCCAAACCTGATCCCACCAAGAAGGGATCGACCGAACATGCTGGCAGCGTGGCACATCAAGGAGGCCTGTATCCCCACCAACGTCCCCAGGCGTCGCCCCAAATGCTGGCAGCCGTCCACCTGCAAGTGCCAGAAGCGCAAGGAACCACCCACGCCCGAGATGTTCCAGGCCTTCTGCGACATGGACACAAGAGGGCGCCCCACCACTGTCCTGAACCGCCTCCTGGACAGCACCGGCGCGACCTTGGGAGCCATCCAAGCCAGGACCTTGCTCGCCCTGTCCCTATTCTTACAGCGCGAACCGCGTGCCTGCCTGTGCCCATGCGGGGGCGCTGAAAGCATCGGCGACGTGATCGAGGCCATTCTCGGCTTGTGCGAGCCCTGCCGCCCGCGTGACAAGGTTGCGCGGGACCAGCTAGGCGCGCTGTTCGGACTGCAGGATCGGCACTTCAGGGAGCTGCACTCGGCGCTGGAGCTCCTGATCACCGCAGTGTCTCGCCTGGTCATGGTCGCCCACCATCGCCCCAAGGCCAAGGAGGCGGGCTGCCCCACAACCTGGAAGGACCTAGAGGCCGGGAGGTTCCCGCTACAGGCCACCCTTGCAGTCATCGAGGGTACTGTGTCTACCGCCGACCTCTCGGCCCTGGCGAACCACGAGTGTGCGGTATGCGCGCTCTACGTCGACGTGCTCGGGTCCAACATTGGCCTCGCGGGCGACCCTGCAAAGCAGGCGAGCAGCGTCGCCTGGATAGGCGGGCGGTATTCATTTACGCACCTGCACCTGGACGCGCCCGCTCCACTTGGGCCCCGCCCAGGGGTGGCACTACGGCCTCCCTGGATAGACGAGCGCGACACCAGGTGGACGAAGGGACAGAACAAGGCCGACTTCCTCTGCCAGGGCTGCCTCCGCGGCCCCTTCAAGCACGACATGGGCGCGTGCGTCAGCAAGCGGATCCGCCAGACCATCGCGGTCAACAGGCTGCCGGAATACTACCAAAGAAGGTACCTCACCTGGCTGTGCATTTGCTGTTGGACCACGAAGGCCATGGAGGAGCGCCGGCCCATCCCGGACGACGTGGACTTCAAGGACTGGATCAACAGTCGCCCCGATGACATGCCGGCGCCCACGACGCGCGCCCTGCCAGGACTCTGCCCAACTCAAGCCCCCACGGCCTTCACGCCCCTGGAGCAGCTCCTTGTCCCACTGGACGGCGAGTTGAACCCGCTCAACGTGGGCGCCACGCTGCCAGCCAGCAGCGCAAACGACGACCGCCTGCTCTCCCACTTCCACAAGGCCGACTTCGACATATGGCGGTGCGACGGCTGCCCGCCTGGTACAGAGGGGCACAAATGGCAATCTGGACAGCCATTCCCTGGCATGTACGGCCACGCCGCCGACCCTGAAGGTCTCCGCGCCGGCCTAACCCTGGTACACGGGCTGCCGCCCGTCCAGCTAGTGCTGCAAGGAATGCCTGATCCACCAATGGGACAGAGCCCCGTCAGCAGTGAAGTACGTACACGACAGGTACGGCTCGCCGCGCCCCGGCATCCCCGCCACCCCGACAGGGAGCGCAGCGCGCCCCAGCCAGGAGGAAGTGCAACGGCGGGCCGCGGCCTGGGACGAGGAGGCGCGCGCCCACCAGGAGCGCCTTCGCAACCCACTGCCGCCCCAGCCAGAGGACGAGCAACAGCGCCACGCCTGGGCGAGACAGATGACGGCCAGGAAGATGCACGTAAAAGTCGCGGCACAGATCAGGGGCCAGGGCGACGGAGGGACAGGCAGAAGCGGGTCCAAGCACGCGGTCCCAGAAACCAGCGCGGCAGCCCCGCTAGCCCTGGAATTCGCGTCCAGCGGCGGGCCCCAGCAAGACAGCTGCCCCCGCGCGGAAGGACGCCACGACCACGCCCCTGACCAAGCAGACAGCCCAAGACCCACCAAGGAACGACGCCTGACGCCCCCCGACTCACTCCCGCCTACGCCGCGGGACAGCGAGCCAACCTCTGCTCCTCTCGCCACGCGACCCACGGCGACCAAGTCCGTTGGGGCACCGCCGGCCGCCAGCGCAACTCCTGATCCCCCCCCCGAGCACGAGGGCCCCAACCGCCGCGAGCGCCGGCAACGGCGCGTCCCAGACGAACCCCTCCAGGGCCCCACCCGCCCAATCGCGACGGACCGCCCGAGCGTCGAGGGCGGCGACTGCGTGGTTATCAGGAGCAACACCCCCCCCCGAGCCAGGTGGCTCAGGTCAGCGCAAAGCACCGGGCCCCTGTCCACGCAGCCCCTGGACGGAGCAACATTCGGACCCATCCTCGACCTTGAGCCCCGCGACCAGGACGGACGGACTCTGATCGTCCGGGTGGGGGGCGGATGGCTTGAGGTCTGGGGCGCCGGGGCCAGGGCGCTACGCGTCGACGTCCTACGCGGCACTGCGGCACGCCAAGCGGCCGCCTTCCTGGGCGGGGCCCCCGACGAGGCGCACGCGCCGCAGGAGGCAACGGCCCCCGCCAGCTCCTGGCTCGGCGCCGACCCCGGGAGTGCCACAGCGGCGCCCGCGGAAGGGACGCAACCCATGTCCAGGCCCGAATCCTGCGCGCCACCTACGGTCGCCTACGAGCCGCCGCCTACGAGCCGCCGCCGCTCCAGCCCACCAAGG